CCCCAAAACCCCAAAACCCCAAAACCCCAAAACCCCAATTTTGTCAAAAATAGTTGACAATATTATATAAGAAATGGAACAAGATCTTAGTGAAAGGAAGGATTTTGGAGGTAGGTTTAGTGGAGGAAGGGTGGAAGGGGAGGAGGGGTAAATGGTGGATTTAGGGAGAGATTATAGTGAGCATGAATGGAGTGTGGAGCTAGGACCCTTGGTAAGGAGATTTGAGTGTTTGGAGGGGGTTATGGTGGATGTAGACGAAGATATGCCCAGCGAATGATGAGACGCCGAAGAAGATGTTGTTTATAGAGACTTCTACTTTGTTAGTCCAGGAAGTTGATATCTCAGATACTGATATTCGGCTAGATGAGGGTGTGAAGATAAAGGGAATTCTAGGAGTTATCCAAATTTACCCAGTTTCTTACTTGCTTGTTATCACAAAACAGAAATTGATTCATGAAATCCTCATTCCTTTCAGGATGAGAATCTACGAAATCACTGAAGTTGATCTGCTTGTTCTTCACAAAGAGGGAGATGAAAATATAGAGTATAAAGATGCCATTAAGAAGATCATGAATTTTGGCTTTTATTATTCCCCTGATGTTGATCTTACAACTCGGATCAACTGAGAGTTTAATTCTCAAGATTCTGAAGAAAGGAAGTCAGAGATTATTAAGGATATTCCAAAGGAAAATTTAGCGAATCTTGACAATCAAGATAAGTTCTGGTGGAATAAAAGACTGTATCAAAGTCTGGAGCTGTGCGGTATCCCAGACTCGCCATGGAGAATCAGGATGATCCGAGGCCATGTTGAGCAAGAAGAGATCTTTATTGGGAGTAGCTCTCTGATAACTGTAACCTTGATCTCTCGGAAAGCTACACTCATGGGTGGTATTATTGATACAGGCATTGATGATGACGGAAGTGTCTCACATTATGTAGAGACAGAGCAATGTCTTGAAATCGGCAATAACTTCCTTTCATTTGTGATGGTCAGAGGAGCAGTTCCTTGCTTCTATGACACTGAACTTCAGAGAGAGTTTGAAATGCATGATGCAGCTTTTAAATTTCATATAAAGAGCATGATCGAGGACTATGAAAAGATTATTTTGATTAACTTGCTGGATACTAATAATGTATATGAGGCCTCTTTAACAAAATTTTATGAGTTTTTGGTTAAAAACAATCTTGACAGCTTCAATAAATGATTGAGATATCGCCTGATTAACTACAGAGAAGAAGCACTTAGAGATGATATGGAGAAAAACAAGCAGTTAAAGGAAACTGCAGAGGCAATGAAATTTTTATGGGTGAATTCAGACGGAATTGTTAAAGATACACAGAAATGAGTTCCGAGGTTCAATTGCCTAAATGGGCTCCACAGATCGAACCAATGCCAAGAGAAGGTCTCTATACTTGTCTTAAGACGAATCATAAGAGCACTACATGATGAGTATATTATTGATGAGATTAAGGTCAGATGGAAACTTCTGTTTCCTAAAATAGAGGGAATGTATAGAGCAAATCAAGCAAAAATCTGAATTGAGAGTGGCTGTCATTGTATTGGAAACAAAAAGCAAGAGGACGATGGCTATCTGCAATCAATGTATAACCAGGTCACTTCTATTGAGAAATATTTCTCTAATTTTGTGGGAACTAACCAAGACAAAGAGGATAATCTATACCAAGAAGCACTAGGTAAGACAGTTTATGCTTAAAATAGAGTATACTAGAGGTCTAACAATGAAACAAGAGGGAGCAGCAGATAATAGTATCGATAAATAAACTATTCGAGGAAGAACAAAAATACTCCAGGATTAATAGGTACAAGTTCGGGTTTCTCACCTGGAACCTTGCTGGCAAGAATTATGATGAAGATATGGACTTTTACAATACACTTCAGTCAAATAACCCTTCTTTGGTTGAGCCTTCAGATATTTATTTTGTTGGGTTCCAGGAGACAAGAAAATTGAATGCTTTTGCCATTCTGAAAGGAGCAAGTAAGACACGGAGTCGTAAGTCTTAAGATCCTCATTATTTAGATCGCCTCAAGCAAGAGGTTCTTCAGGCCTTAAATCAGATAGCGAGAAAGCAAGATTGCGATTGTGAATATCTCTGCTTTTCTGAAGTATCGATGTGAGGACAATTGATTCTAGGGTACTGTAAATCCTCAATAAAATGGAAAATCAGCAAGATCGCAACAACCAAAATTAAGCAAGGGTTTGGTGGTAAAACAGGAAATAAAGGCGCAGTAGTTGTCAGGTTCAATCTAGATGACACAAGTATAATTGTTGTAAATGCTCACCTTGAAAGTGGACAGAAAAACCTTGTTGAACGTATTTCTCAGTTCCAAGACATAAAGGAAAACTGCGTTGTCGGAAGAAGAAAGAAAAATTATAAATTTTCTTCTCACAAATGAAAGTTTTTCATGGGAGATTTAAATTTCAGAATAAACCTAGACTATGAGGAAGCTAAAGTTTCGTCCCAAAACTTCAGTGCGGATGACCAGAAGATCTTAAGAGAGAAAGACCAATTGAATATTGCGAAGGTTACTGAAGAAGTTATGATCGATGTTAGAGAAGGTCAGCTTAACTTTAAACCAACTTATAAATACGATGAAAACAGCGATGTTTACGACACATCTAAAAAGATGAGAGCTCCAGCTTGGTGAGATAGGATCCTGTGGTTCGAAAATGAGAAGCATATTGATCAGCTGAGTTATGAGAGGAAAGAGAACCAGTTCTCAGACCACCGACCTGTAATATCTTTTATAAGTGTTATGACTTATACCCATGATAGTAAACTTATGAGAGAGTTGAAGCAACAAATGGTTCAGCAGAGGAAAGAAGAGTATTTTAAAAGTAGAAGAGATACTTATTTCAACTACGCTGTCACAGGGAAGCTAAAGCTTAAAAAGTCTAAGACAAGTATTGGAGAAGACTACCAGAGCCCGCCTTCTTCTCCTAGTAGGAGACATGACTTTGTAGTAAAGAAAGATCGTACACCAGGATCTAAAAAGAAAGAATTTCACCTGGAATTAAGCCCAGATAGAGACTATTTTCAAGACTAAGACATAATTCATGACTTAAAATTCAAACAAATATTATCTGGATTATTTTAAGCACTCTGCGCATACATCAAAATCTCATAGATCTCATCTTTGGGAAATCTTGCATGCTTTGTTAGCATCATGGGATGCCTTGATACAATTTTTGCCTTTGATATCACACCCCCAAGAAAACGTAATTGGGATCGCTTGAAGGTGTGTTTTATGCTTATGAATTTTTTTGTTTGTGGTAATATAATCTTCGAAAGGAGATACATATCATTTCTCACAAAGCACTAGCTTACAATCGAAGCAGACCAAGTACCTGATCTTATCGCTTCCTTCTCCATTGCAAGCAGTGGATTTATACTTTCCGTAACAGTTTAGTCTAGCAGCCTCAGGTAAGTTCACTCCAAAATACATTTTCATTGGGTGAGGATGAGTTAAATGCATTAAACCTTCTTTTGGGTAAGCTTTAAGATCATTTTCGTCAGAATTTCCTCCGTAAGCTAAGATGCATTTCTCTCAGAAATCTACGTCTCATCTTGAGCAATACCAGGATTCCCCATTTGTAGTTACTTTCTTTTCAGTACCAGAGGAGGCACATCCATGCTTGATAATCTTCAGACCATCACAGAACCAAGAATTAGACTTGCTCATCTTATGTAAGAAGCAAGGGTGTAGAGCGGGGTTGAAAAGTACAGCCTTTAACAGATTTTTATCACAGTCTTCCTTGTGCTCAATGATCTGAGATCTTGGGAACTCAATATCACAGTGCTCACACTTGACTTTAATGTGATTTATCATCCTCTGAACAAACTTATTCACGTTTAGCGCTAGCTTTGTTGTTTCAGATACGCATCTGTTTGGACATTTATCAAGCTTAGGGCCACAGTCTTGGCAAACTATAGTTCCGCAGCAATCAGTTTCAAGAACTTTGACAGGAATTTCAGTGCAAATTATGCACTCTAGCTGGTCGCCAGTGATGCTGTATTGGGTTTCCATTTTTGAACGATATTTAAGTTTAATATTATATCTCCTTTAGAAGTAAGGGGTTTTGGGGTTTTGGGGTTTTGGGGTTTTGGGG